GGGGGGGGGGGGGGGGGAGAGGAAGAGAGGCAGGCATGAAAAGGCAGGAGAGACGGGAAGATGCGCACCGGAAAATGCCCTCAGTCCGCTCGCCACCCAGGCGCACAATGGCGTCCGTCAGGAAGGGCAGGATCCGGGGGATGCTCATCTCCGGGCAGGCACGCTGCTGCAGGCGCATGACCTCCTCCAGTGGCTCGCCGAAGACCGACGGCCGGATGGGCGCCTCGACGGCGCGCTCCAGCTCGCCAAGGGTCGGCGTTTTCCCGCGCGGCCCGACCACAGCAATGTGCCGAAGCTTGCGCTGGCAAAATTGGATGTACGTGGCAATGCGATCGGCACTGGCCGGGGACATGCTCGGCGGGGGGATGTTGGTCCCGGAGTCCGCCGGGCCGGGAGGGGTCAGGCCAAGCCCGGTGTACCCTTCGCTGGTCATCGGGGCCACGCCGATCAGCCGGTCGGCCGTGAAGCTAAGCAGGTAGTTGTCGAAGTCCTTCGACGGAGGGAAGGACACGGCATACACCGCCATCAGGGCCCAGCCAAGCATGATGGACACGGTGTTCTGGTTGCCATTCAGCTGCTTGCACAGCTGGACATACAGCTCATCGCGCATGGCCCCGCGGTTGACACCCACATCGACCAGCGGCTGGAAGGCCGCGGCAATGGCCGACACATAGGGCAGTCGCAGGGAGGCATCCTCCTGCGGGGCATCCGAGGCCGAGAGCCCTGGAGAAGACCCACCGCCCGGGGCCTTGGGAATGACCAGCCCACCGGACCGGTCGCCCATGGCCCGCTGCAGATGCCGCCAGCAGTTCAGGGCATCCTTATGCATGCCCTTGTTGGGGACCTGCAGCAGGGGCGACGGGAGCATGTCCTTGGTCCAGCGAAGCATGCTCTCCAGTGGTACCCGCCGGCGGAAGAGGCCCTTCTTGTGGACCGTGAAGTTCTTCTGGGCAAACCCATCGAACTGGAAGTCCCGGATCTGGTCGTGCAACGCGTCCACCTGGCTGCTGTGGGCGGGGCTGCCGGAGAACTGCGACGGGTCGAAGGCCAGGTTCTCGGCCACGCCGACGGTCTTCGGGGCGCCGGAGGTGGCAGGGGCTATGGCCGGCGGCAGGTGGCGAGAGAGGGACATAAGGGGAGGACAAGCAGAGGCCGGGGAAAATGGCATGGCGCGCGCGCGCGCGGGGGGG